GATCGGAGTTTGTATGATTTGGTTAGCTTTGCCAGATGATTTATGACTTAGGAGCACGATCGGAATTGATTTTGCAGGTCCAGTGTGGAATTTGGCTTGAATTGGCGAAACTAGTATTTTGGCGATTTCCGGTTGATATTTGAGATTTTGATCCGAGGGTCGGAATGGAATTCCGAGAGTTGTTATAGTTTCTCATGTGATTTGAGACGTGTGTCCAAAATTTCGTGTCATTCGGAGGTGATTTGGTTGGGTTTTTTATCGAAAGAGCATTTCGGAAGTTTTTGGAAACTTACGCTTGAATTCAATGAATTTTGAGTAATTTGATGTTGTTTGGGGTGTTGTAATGATTGGAACAAGTTTGAATAGCGTGTTGGGATGTATTGTTGTTTTTGGTTGAGGTCCCGGGGGCCTCAGGGTGATTTCGGATAGCCATCGGGAGTAATTTTGGACTTGTGGGATTTTTGGTGTTGCTGGTATCTGGTATTTTCGCAGATGCGGAAAAGGGGCCGCAAGTGCAGATTTGGCCATTTGGAGGAAGTTCGCAGAAGCAGACTTATTTCCCGCAGATACGGTGTCCGCAGGAGCGGAATTTGACTGCAAAAGCGGTCATGAGGAATTTTGAAGAATCCGTAGAAGCGGAGGAATTTGCCGCATAAGCGGTAACCGCAGATGCGGTACCTAGGTCGCAGAAGCGAAAAAATGTCTGGACAGAAGTGTTTTTAAAGTTTCATTGTGTTCCGCGAGCTAAGGTATTTCTCCACCATTTTTTAACATCCTTGGGAGATTTTGGGCGGAACTGAAGAGGGATTCGACTGAGATTGATTGGAGGTAAGATTTTTGAACTTAAAACACGATTATATTGTGGAATTGGTCTAGATATTCATGGAAATTTAGCTAAGATGAATGAACTAGTGCTTGGGATTTTGAGATTTTAAATTGAGGATTTAGCTAGCATATGGTGACGTATTCGTTGTGGTTTTGGTTAGATTCGACGCGCGTGGAGGCTGATTTGAAGGGCAAAGGCATCACGAGCTAGAATTTTCGCCGGTTCGAGGTGAGTAATGATTGTAAATGATATCATGAGGGTTTGAAACCCAGGATTTGCACATCGTAACTCTATATTGAGGCGAGACACGCGCTCTATGACGAGTGCGGGGTCGTTTGCTATTGGGGATTGTGACGTTGTCCGTCCCGAGTGATGTTTTTACCGTATTTTCGATTACAACTTATTTGAGATGATCCTTACTTGGATTTAATTGTTATATTTGGGCTTCGTGCCAATCATTTGAATCCTTCAGGGATTGTTACCATCTGTTTCCACATTATTTGACATAATATCTGATATCAGTCCAAAGTTTTAAATATTATTTCTTAAACTCAGCCATTCTTTCTAAGATTTTAAAACTTAAACAATACTTCATTGACGTTTTGAACTGAGAACTATTATTTTAATATTGCCCGAGAAACTTATGTGAATTTCTGGACTGAGCATGGACCGAGTTGCGCGCCGCAACAGTATTATATTGATATTGAGGTAGAGAGCCTGGTTGATGCCACGAGATGGCTTGATATTACGCTTGGGCTGTAGGAGCCCCTCCGGAGTCTGTACACACCCCCAGTTAGCATCGTCGACGTTAAATTGATCGGGCTGCACGCCGCTGCGTGGGACGGGCTTCATGCCGCAACGGTATTAGTACTGTTTTATGTGTTTACTTATCTCATTTGTCTGTCATTATCTGTTGTTTGTGCTATTCCTTGAAATCTTTACCTACTATTCTGGTACTATCTGATCACTGAGTGTTGGGCCCGATGGGCGGATTTCTGTGCTTATCTGCACTATTGCTACTGCATTCATTTGCGTAACTGTTGAAAAAGGCATTTTCAAAAGAGTCATTAAACTGAGCTAAAACGTTTCTCTAAAGATTTCATAGCTTCACTGCTTTTCTCAAAAAGGGTTTTTCTCTGCTTCTATACAGCATGATGATCTGTTATATGTGATTTCTTACTGCTCAGTTATTATTTACCTTTATTACTCACTGAGTTGGAGTACTCACTTTACTCCCTGCACCTCGTGTGCAGATGCAAGTATTTGTTCACCGGTAGCGGGTTTTGAGCTGATTGGAGATTTTGATATCGTAGCTGAGCAAGGTGACCGCCAACGTTCGCGGCACTGGACTTCTTCCTTTGATTCTAAATTTTATTTTGTATATTACTGGCCTTGTAGTTGTATTTAGACTTTTCTAGATGCTCGTGAGTTGTGACACCCCGATTTGGGTTGTGTTTGAGTTTTACTTCCGCTAAGTAATATCATTGAACCATCTTTAAATATTGTATAATCATATTTATTTAATTTCGAAAAGGCAAATTGGGTTGGTTGGCTGGCCTTGTCTTCACGAGAGGCGCCATCACGATCGGAGCGGGGTTTGGGTCGTGACAAATTCTCACGAAGCAAAATTGATATATAATAACCAATGAATAAAATGGTAGAAAGAGAGTAATATTTAGTAAACTATTATTCCAAGTTCGTAATCTTGCTTGCCTCAGTTTTAATTCTCACGGAGTAATTGTTGTTGGTAAGATTATTGATTTTTTAGTAAACACGAAGTTTTTACTACCTCTTAGTACAATTCAAGGAAGAAAAATATTTTGGTCTAATCGTCACTAGTTTTAGCTCAATTAATCACATAACCTCATGGAGTGTTGTTAATTGACTACTTCTTAGTGAGCTAAATATAATTTTATTAGCAATAAGCAATTATTCCTCAGATAAATACATGAACAAATTAAGAATTTATTATAATATATTATCAAGTGAATTCAACAATTTCTAACTCTTTTAATTTATAAATTTCCTGAAAGTTCTTGGTTTTTATTTAGGTAATTAACAAGCTTTAAACCTCACTCACTTTTCATCAAATTGATTCTCTCAAATAGTAGTTGAAATATTAAAAGTCTGTAGCATAGGTGTTCCAATCTCTGTGGGACGATATCATAAATTATACTAGAATTTGACAAAGCACGAGCAGGAAAATCCTATACACATTGGCCTCGTCAATTTTTTGACGTCGTTGCCGGGGATTGGCGTACATCTACTTCAGATTAAATATTTTGTTACTGATTTGAGACCTTATTATTGTTATTTATTTGTTACTATTATCACTAATTACTAAGCAGTACTATAACTACTACTGTAATATTAATATAATCATTTTCTTTTGTAACAACACTTTAAAAAGAAAAAAATTTATATTCGTACTTCTTCCTATTATTGCTATCACTAGCTTTCCTTCATTATATTTAGTGTAATTATTATTAGTACTATCACCTCTTGTATCATATTTTCTCATTGCCAGTACTTTGACGTACTTTTATTCTTATTTTTCAATATAGTTTGTTGTTACATATTATTATTTTCTTATCATTGTTTATTTATAATTATTTTTCTGTAATATTATATTATTATTGTTAGTATTAGTACTTCTACAATGTTATTCTTACTGATCACTCTTATTTACTAGTACAACTTTTGTTTATAATTAATAATACTATACTATTTCAATTCATTGGTAGTATTACTACTGATGCTTACTTGTTAGTTTCATTGTTTTATATTTTTATTTTATTTTACTAGAGTAATTACTAGTAATATTATCAATAATATTGTGGTATTTATTTTTCTTCACTAACTATTTATATTGGAAATTTACTTTAGTTTAGGTATTAATTACTAGTACTATACTAGAAATTAATGTTAATTGTTTTTTACTTTCAAAATTTTAAGTAGTTTATGACCCGCTCTTCTATAAAAGAATTGGCTAATTACGATCCTGAAATTGAAAGATATCTTCGATTGCGCAGGAAAAAACAAACATCGTCTTCTCAAGGAGCAACTTATGAAGAAATGAAAACCAGGAAGTAGAGGACATTAATCCACTTGGGATCCCACCACCAGTCAATGTAGAGGAGAAATTTGATGAAGTGGTACCAAGGCCAGCAAACAGAATCCTTAAGGAGCATGCTAGACCTTGTGAGCACGTGATTTTTGCCCTATATGAATTACACTCATAATTTCAAAACAAAATATTGCCTTTTATTATTTACAATTTTGTGGATTTTTGTGGCATTTTATGTTAATTACTTGCATTTTATCCGTGCATGTTAATTCATATAAAAATACAAAAATTATGCATTGCATTTGGGGTTTAATTTTACTTATTTTTGGAATTAATTAGCAATTAGGAGTTTTACAAAAATACAAAAATCACAAAAATAGTTGCCTATCCAGTTGTAGGTATCTCCAGTTCCCTTTTTGTTTTTCCTGCATTTTTCTTTTTCTGTTAAGTTCAAATTCACTCTCATTTCTCCTCTGTCCCCTCTCTTGTCTTTTGTTTTTACCATTTCAAACGTGTCATTAAGATCGAGTCATGTTAATATAACGGTTAGTATTAATTTAGGATTGCCATTTTCTAGTTTTTTAACATGTGTTCAGTTCAGATTAGCGGTAGCCTCTGTTAATTTTAAGATTCAGATTGTTTGAACTTTGCATTCTTGATTTGAGTTTCGTTGTATTATAATGGGTTTTAAATTAATATTGTGATGTTTTAGTTGGGTTGGTTCATCAGGTTTTGTGGTTATTGTGATTGCTTGTTTGGGTCTTTGTTTAAAAGAGTTTGGGCCAGAGTGCTTTCTTAGTAGAACTAAGCCCATTTAGGGATTCAATTCAGAGTTTATGACCCAGTTAGCTTGGCCAGTTGGCCCGGGTGGGTTCAGGGTAAATAAAAGTAGCTACAAGGGTGATTTGGGTAGTTTAAGTGCGGAGAATCTTTTCTCAACTGAAAGAAGAAGCTTCTAGCAGGGATTACTAGCCAATTTCAGGATTTTAAGTGGATAAACTTGGGCAACAAGTCAGTAGTTAAGGGGTTAAGTAGCAAATTGGAAAATTGAAAAAGGTCTAAAAGTGACAAACTTAACCTATTTTCAGCTGCCCTAGTAGCTGCCTATAAAGGGATAGCTAAGAGAAGTTCATTTCAGATTTTTGGGTAGCTAAAAACCCAAAAAATAACAAATTAGCTGAAAATATCCAAAAACACTGTTCCATTAAAATTTTCTGAAACTCTTGAAGATTTTTGATTTCTGAAACAATCCTTAGATAATCGAAGGTTTGAAATGGCTTAAACTGGTTGGTTTCAGGTGTTTGGGTTCGAGTTTTTGGTTGCATTTGATTACTGGACATTATTGGATCCTTCTGCTGGTTGGAGTTTGGTTCAAAACTGATTTTCCTTCAGTTATTTCTAGGTTGTGTTGTTCAGCTGCTAACCTTTTGCTGTTTATTTCATTTCCAGGTACATTTTACACTCCACCTCATGTGTAAACTGATTTGATGAATGAAGATGGATATTCTGCAATTTCAATATGTTTTCAGCCTTCTACTACGAATTTAACCTTGTTACTATTTCATTTATGGGTTCTACAACTTACATCATTGCTCTTTTATAATTAATTTTAATCTGAGTAAATGTTCTGCGAACTATCTCTTTCTGTTCTGTTTTTTTTCTTCTGATTAGCTCACTTGTGCCCTTTGTTTTGGTATATCAGTCAATGATATAACATGAACACTGAAGGCTCATTTTAAGGCTGCAAGTAGGTCTTTCGTTTTCCATTTGTTGATCTTAATTATTATTGACTTATCTTTTATGAGTTTTATGAGAATCATGCTTATCCAATTAGCTTAGTATTGGGTGTTTATTTGTTCTCTGATCTCTCAAACTAACACTGAAGGCTCATTTTAAGGCTGCAAGCAGGTCTTTCGTTTTTCATTTGTTGATCTTAATTATTATTGACTTATCTTTCATGAGTTTTATGAGAATCATGCTTATCCAATTAGCTTAGTATTGGGTGTTTGTTTGTTCTCTGATCTCTCAAAGTTTGAAGTAGTTTGGAATTTGCCAATTAACAAATCAAGTCTGTTGGTTTTAAATGTACTTGAATCTTACCATATTTTGATACCAGTTGTGTGAACCTTGGGATTTTGTAATTAGTGAATAGTTTGTGCAACAGATGGTGTTATTGCACCTAGTATTGCCTTAGAATCCATGTTAGACTTAAAAGTCTGCTTTGCATTTGAATTAGAGATTAGCTATGTTTACTCGATTCCAGATTTCTTTACGTGATGCATTTGGCTTCAAATGAATTCGTTGTTTTATGTTTTGGGCTATCTTTTGGCCCAATTGTAATGGCACTGTCCGCAATCATCAGACTACCAAGTTGGGCTTCATTTGGGAGCCCAGTTATTTCACATGTGAGCCTACGGCAAATGGGCAGTCAGCCATGGGATTTTGATCAGCCCAACCAGTCCACAATCTAATATGGGTGGTTCGTTATCAATTTAATGTTTTATTAAAATTACTGATTTAGTTTTGGCACAACATAAGTAGGAATTCCCTTGCGTTCTTTAAACTAATTAGTCTTGTTCTGTCAATTAAACTCGTTTAAATCAATGGGGGGAGGGAAGCCATATTAGATAACAAATAGTTTATGGAACTCCGAGCTTTAGTTTAAATAGCCTTTAAAATAGAATTGAGGTGCGCCGCGCAAAATAAAATGACAAATTGCGTGGCCCTCTTTAATTATGTCTTTAAAATATTTAGAATACGAGGCGTGTCATTTAGTTAATTTTCATGGACCTCGCAAAGTTAATAACTCGTAGTTGCTTTAGGCGCGTATTTTTATAATCTACTTTCCTAAACTCGGGTGCACATTTATGTGACCCAAATCCAAATCCCAACGAAGTTGAAATATGTCAAAGACCGCGAGTGCATTTATGCGACGTGGTTCGAGACATGTTTTAACGACATTACAATTCTCTTTAAAAATAATAATAAAAGCGGTAAAAAGTTGAAATTCGCACATAAGTTCATAATTGTGCAAAATCAGATAATTAAGCCAAATATGATAGTTAAGCGACCGTGCTAGAACCATGGAACTCGAGAATGCTTAATACCTTCTCCCGAGTTAACAGAATTCTTTACTCGGATTTATGGTGCGCAGACTATTTAACAGAGTCAATAATTTTCTCGATTCGGGATTCAACCGCTGACTTGGGACACCATAAATCTCCCAAGTGGTGACTCTGAATCTTTAATAATAAATCTCGTTTCGATTGTCCTTTAATTAGAAAAACTCCTTTATACCCTTCCGGGTGTAGGTAAAAAGGAGGTGTGACAGCTCTGGCGACTCTGCTAGGGAAACAGAACCCAAAACTTTTGGTTCAGGGTTCAAGAATTCGAGCTTAGAATAATTGTTGTATTTGACTTTGTTTATTATCTGATTTTATTACATGTTTGGGCCTAATGTGCTAAGTGATGTTTTTTTACCTCTTTGATATTATTTGAACGGTACATATAAACTGTTACGAAACCCTTCTCTTCTTGTCTCCGGGGATGTGCTCGCTGGTCGAGACTCCCTATTCTGTTAACGTCATACCTTGAAATAAGAAAGAGGCTCGGACAAGTTACTAAGCTGGACAATCTTACGGGTCCCCGGTGCGTAGCCCCTTCCTCGACTCGAGTTGTCCGCTCGGATACACAGTCTAGAACAAATACCCAGGTTTTGAACCTGGAATAACTCAGCTTCATGCTGGATCCCTAGTAGGAACATTTGTTTGCTTCATGTGCATTTGACTTTGGAGGCTCAACACAGGGGTTAGGCCTGTCTAGGATAGGTGTATCAAAAATAAAAATGTCACGACCCAAACCCCGATCCGATCGTGATGGCGCCTCTCGTGAAGACAAGGCTAGCCAACCAACTCAAAGTGCCTTTTTAACAATAGTTAAACATAAATAAACAGTTTCAAAGATAATTTAATAACAATATATTTAGCGGAAATACAACCCAACACAGCCCTAACCGGGGTGTCACAAGTCACAAGCATCTAAAGAATCTAAACACTAATACAAGACCAGCATTATACAGAATGGAATTTAGAATTAATAAAGAAATAAGGTACCACGAACGCTGACGGTCACCTTGCTCAGCTACGATAGCAAAATTTCCAATCAGCCCAAAACCCGCTACCGGGTGAACAATTACCTGCATCTGCACACGAGGTGCAGGGAGTAAAGTGAGTACTCCAACTCAGTGAGTAATAAAAGTAAATAACAACTGAGCGGTAAGAAATCACGTAAAACATATCGTCATGTTGTATAGAAGCAGAGAAAAACCCTTCAATTGAGAAAATCAGTGAAAACTGTGAAATCTTTAGAAATATCTTGGCTCAGTTTTAAAACCTCTTTTTTTTTAAAATGATCCTTTCAACAGTTGCGAAAATAATTTCAACAAGTAAGAAATAATCAGAAATCTGCCCCTCGGGCTCAATATCAGCCTCTCAGTACAGTATCATCCCCGCGGGCTCACTCCCAACTCACAAAGTACAACATCAGCCTCTCGGGCTCAATATCAGTATCTCAGAACAGTATGAAGCAACAAAACAATGAAATAAGAGCACATAATTATTATGGCAGATAATGCAGATAAGGAACAAATGCATGAGTGCAATGCAATGCATATGACAGTACACTCTAGTACCCGCTACGGCTTGCAGCCCGCTCCATTTATTTATCATCGACGGCGCTCACTGGGGGTGTGTATAGACTCCGGAGGGTCTCCTACAGCCCAAGCGCAATATTAGCCATCTCGTGGCATCAAATAGGCTCTCGACCTCAATATCAATATATCATTGATGCGGCGTGCAACCCGATCCATATCAATATACCATTGTTGCGGCGTGCAGCCCGATCTATATCAATATATCATTGCTGCAGCGTGCAGCCCAATCCATATCAATATATCATTGCTGCGGCGTGCAGTCCGATCTATATAAATATATCATTGTTGCGGCATGCAGCCCGATCCATATTAATATATCATTGCTGCGGCGTGCAACCCGATCCATATCAAGTATAAACATCCTCACTATCGGATCCTCGACCCATCTCAGTCAAGTAATGCACAGCCTCTCGGGCATAACAAGTTATAGGGATCTCAGCCCTTATATGCTTTTAATTCAATATTCATGTTAAAAATACAGTTCTTATAACATTTTTAACAGTTGAAACATGGCTGAGAGTATGGTTTTATGCAGACAAGTGAGGAAAATCACATAAGGATCCCCTAAGGATTCTACAGGTCGGCACAAGGCCCCAAACCTAGTAGTAAGCTCAATTCTCAATATAGTAGAAAATAACACTCGGGATGGACCAAGTCATAATCCGCGTCAGTAAACGACCCTGCACTCATCATAGAATGCGTGTCACGCCTCAATATAGCATTACGATGTGAAATCCGGGGTTCAAACCCTCAGAATATCATTTACAAGAATTACTCACCTTGATCCGGTCCAAACTCTAGCCCGCGATGCCTCGCCCGCACGAATCGACCTCTGAAGGCTCCAAATCTAGCCACAGTCAGTACATAATCATTAAAATATGCAAATGGAGTGAAGCCCACTCGAAAATATCCAATTTAACATCAAAATCCCAAAATTACTCAAACCCGTCCCCCGGGCCCACACTTTGAAATTCAACAAAACTAACAAAATCCGACAACCCATTCAACCACGAGTCCAACCATATAAATTTTACCAAAATCCGACAACAATTCGGCCTCCAAATCATCAAATTCTTATTTTCAAATCCCTAGGCTCAGACCTTCGGATTTAACCTCGAAATAAGTAATCGAGTTAGGATATTTGATGATAATCCCATATTATTGACTAACAATGAGCACAAGTGACTTATCTCTAGTTTTCACATGAATTCTTACTCAACAATCACCCAAAAACGAGATTGAAGACTAGGGTACGGAACCTTACCTCTTTGATTAAGAACTTATGATTGGGTTCTTTGATTCTTGAAGATTTATGCAAGGTTTGGATGATTTAAATGTTGGGTTCTTCCTTATATCTATAAAATGCTCTCACCTCTCTCTAAAAGCTCCAGAAAATCCCAAAATAACAAACCCCAAACGAGTTAAATAAAATGGGATTCGGGTCTTAAAACCCCATTTTTTGTACTACCGCGCCGCGTGGGGCGCCGCGGGGCACGGGGAGTCAGTGCAAAATGTTTCTGGAAATGAAATTTCGGACCATACTGGAATTTATACAGGCTCGGCGCGCCGGGCGCTGCGGTAGTGCAATTTTCTGCGCTGCTTTGGTAATTTGATCATAACTTTGCGTAGGAATGTCCGAATGACGAACGGTTTGTTGCGTTAGAAACTAGATTCGAAGGGATTTAATTTTATAGGTTGTTCATCACCCAACTCCTTATATAACTGGATATAAGATCATTTAAAGTAAGGTCTTGTGCGCACTCATTTACAACTTCGTCTATTATGAAAATTTCCAACTTCAAAAGTTCCCGTTAGCCATCCGAAATCACCCCGAGGTCCCCGGGGCCTCAACCAAAAGCACAAAAATATCTTAAAACATTATTGAGACTTGTTCCAATCATCAAAGCACCTCAAACAACACCAAAACCATCAAATTACATCGAATTCACGCCTAAGTTTTTCCAAAACTTCCAAAATACGCATTTGATCAAAAACCCGACCAAATCACCTCCGAATGACATAAAATTTTTGCGCACACATTCCAAATCACATAATGAAGCTACATCAACTGTTGGAATTCCATTCCGACTTCCGGATCAAAATATCACCTATCAACCGAAAATCACTAAAATCCTAACTTCGCCAAAATAGGCAAACTTCTACACCGAACCTCCAAAATTACTTCCGATTGATCTCCTAAACCTTAAATCATCCCCCGAAACTAACCGAATCATCATAAATCAATTTCGAGCCTTCTAACTCTCAAGTCAACTTCCGGTTGACTTTTCCAAACCAACCTTCCCTTAAAGAGACTAATTGTCTCATTTCTTATCAAAATCACTCCAAGTCAATTTTAATGCACCCAATGCCGATAATGAAACATGAGGAAGCAGGAAATGGGATGGACGGGGCAGTAACTCACGAGGCGACTGGTCGAGTCGTCACAGAAAAAGACCATCCTGATGCATCTTACGTGCTACGTGTGCATTTATTTGTTTCGGACTTGCATGTTGACCGGCTTTTGAATATTTGGGAAAAGTTGAGAAAAAGAGAAATAACAGTATGAGGGTAAAGAGAGTTAATCGCCTGTTTTGAAAAATCAATGTCCAAATAGTGCCGAAACTCAACCGAATTTTTCAGAAAAATGAAAAAAAAATGGAAAAGGAAAATTTGTTTTCAAAAATGGTTTGTTTTATTTGCTAATGAAAAAAGAAAAAAAAAGTCTTGTTCTCAAAAATAGTTTTATTTTGCCTTGTTTTCAAAATAGTTTGCTTTATTTGCCAATGAAAAAGAGAATGAAAAAAGTCTTGTCCAGTTTGATTCTCACAGGGCGTGAGATACGTAGGCAACCCCCATCGGGTCCAACTTCTCTTCTTCTTTTTTTGCAAAAGTAGCCCGAAATGAACAAAATTTTATTTTTTATTGTAAATAGGTGAGGTAATGCATTTTTGTCGAAAATAGCTGAATGTTCCCGAAAGGGACGCCGGAAGGCTGATTTTGCATAAACAGTCACCTTTGGTCTTTTTCCAATTTTTTGGCCAGTTAGCGGGCACAACCTTAAAATCTTCCTCCGGAAGTGCTAAAAGGCCGTATCGGTAAAGCTGGGTTTTTGGTTTTAGAATTAAAAATACAAAAAAGGTGTCAATTTTGATTTTGGAGTCAAATAGAATAAAATCATGACTATTTTGCTTAATCACCTTAATAAATGTGCAGGATGAGCACAATCCCAAAATGAACCTTCCTCAATCATAAGTAAAATCCCTTTGGAGTTGCGGCTGCGGTGGAATGATTTAGGTGGAGAAGGGCAAGACGAGGTCAAGAAATACTTGGGGGCCTTCCTGGACTGTTGGAGATTATATCCAGGGGAGACATCATAAGGGCCTTAGTCACATGCTAGGACCCGGCTCACAATGTATTCCACTTCTCAGATTTTGAACTTAACCCAACATTAGAAGAGATATCTGGATACATCGGGGGTCCCAAGGTTCCTCTGAGGCACCAATACCTGATTGCTCCAAGGATTGTAGCCGTACACAGGTTCCTGGATTCTTTGAAAATAAGCAGGGTGGTACACAACTCGGACCTGGCAGCTGGCTTTTGTAAGCTGCCATTTAAATACAAAAGATATGTTCATATAGGAGGGTTCAACAAACCGGAGAACAAAATTTGTAGCAAGGGAAACCGCCTTAAATGGGAGGAACATAGGCATGTTGCGTTCATGGTGGCCTTTCTAGGACTTCTGGTGTTTCCTAGAAAAGACAAAAATATTGACATCTGAGTATGTGGGGTTGTTAGTACTTTGCTTACTCAGGCCAACAACACCCTCGCACCCATGATAGTAGCTGAGATTTTCCGCGTTCTTACTGTTTGCAAAGCCGGATGGGACTTTTTTTAGGGTTGTAATGTGCTGCTGCAGATGTGGATGATCGAGCACTTATGAAATCATCCCCGATTTATGAGTTATGGGTCATCAGAGAAGACATGCATAGAGGCTACGAAGGTTAAGAGGATTAGCTTACCAGAGGGGGTCGCAGAATGGGTAACACGCCTCCGTTCCGTCACTGCATGACAGATAGAGTGGACATTTGGGTAGTTATCTGTGGATGAAGTCATATATATACCAGTCACCGGACCTCATTTTCTACTGATGGGACTTAGGAGTATTCATCCTTATACCCCGTATCGAGTTCTGAGGCAGTTAGGAAGATGCCAAATAGTCCCGAAGGATGAGGATCTTAGTGGCCAAGTAGTTCAGATCGGGTCTGATGGTCAATTTCATGAAGCAGTAGTTCGCAAAATTTGGAATGAATGTCAGTACTTAACAGCAGATACTTGTGTACGAGATCGGTCCAGGGGTGAAGTGTTGCCAGGATACCTTGCTTGGTACAGGAGATAAATTGAGTTCGAGAGACCTACCAAGAGGCCCCATGTCCAGGAATTCATCGAGGCGTCGCAGGAACAATGGGACTGGTTGGCTAAAGAACACACGTACAGGGCTGCAATAGGCAAACTGGAGAAGCAGGTCATGGATTTGCAATTTCAGAAAGATTTGTAGGCCGCCGCGGATGAAGGCGAAAAGAAGAAACTAGCTGAAGAAAATGAGGCTCTTCGAGCCCAAATTTAGAAAATGAAAATAGCGGCAGAAAACCCTGTCCGAAGTGCCAAAGATGCAAAACTGATAAATAATTTGAGGCAGAAAGTGAATGACTATAGTTTTGATCTGAACAAAGCAGAAAGAGAACTAGCCTGGGTTCGAAAATAATTGGCTAAAAATGAGGCAGAACGAGTCCGTCTGGTTAAGTAGTTGAAATAAGAATACGACAATGAGGTCGTAGGGCTAAAGAAAAAGGTCATCGCCGCAGAAAATAAGAAAATCAGACAGGCAAAAGACTTCAAGGTTGAAAGGGAACAGTGTTATGCAGCAATGGCACAACTAGAAAACGATTTGCAACAGCTCCGAGAGCATAATCAGGTAGCCGAACAAACTTTGGGAGCCAGAACTGAGCAGATTGGGCGGTTATTACAAGAGAAAGGTGTCATAAGAGAGAGAATCAGGACAATCGCCCATTACATCGCCACGAAGTGCAGCAGCTGTGAGGATATAACCAAGTCTATGTTTTTCGCCACCACGATGCTTTTCTTCGTCGGGTAATGGAAGACCTCCACCACCTCCAAGGGGATTTAGATAGCCGACCTGCGACAAGGCCGAATGATGCCCCGCGTGTCCCAGGAGTAATTGAAGTGCTAATGTATTCGTGATTTTTGAGTCTGTATTTCCTTTCCATTAAAGTCTGCCAGTTTGTCTCGGAGTCTGTATTTTCTTATTATGTGATTTAGTAGTTTTTCGAGTCAGTATTCCGTCTTTAATCAAAGTTTCTTGTTTAAGTCTGTTAGTTTTCGAGTCTTTGTAATCAATTTTGTTTTATGAAAAATTGAAATTCCAATTTTTTTTATTATTTTACATTTATCTGCAAGAACTACGCTTGGTCTGATTCATGCGGGGTCATGCTATGTAGGCAATCTCCATAGGATTCGACCGTAACCAAATGAAAAAGGAAAAAGAGAAGGAAAATAGGAAGAAAACAAAAGAGGAAGGAAAAGAAAAGATAGGAAAAATAAGAAAGGAAATGAAAGGAAAAAAAGGGGTGAAAAACAAGAGAGGAAAGAAAAAAAAAGAGAGAAAACAGAAACTAAAAGAAAGGAACAACGACAAAACAAGAGGGAATAAGAAAAAAGAGAAAACAAAGGCAAGAACAAATAAAAGAAAGAGAAAGAAAGGAAAAAGAGAAAAAAGAAGAGAGGTTTGCAATTGGAAATAAGGAAAAGCCGGGATGACGCAAGCAGTCGAGCAAATGCATAATAGAAACCATTAACTGCTTAGGTGCATTCATTCCCCAAATGTGCGGTTATCAAATCTGTTAAAACCCTAACCACTAACCAAGTTGTTGTTGATGTATTGAGTACAGGAAGGTTGTTAGTTTATTGGCATTCTGGCAACCTATTCCTACAACACCCGATCAAGAGACAAGCTAAAAGTGACAGGCCAGGAACTAGATACCAGTATTGTGGACCCATCAAAAGAGGTAGAGGTGGTGGATGTTAATGCAACGAAGGAAGAAATGTATAAATTGAAGCAGCAAATGGCCGAAATGCATGAGGTCTGGGCTAAAGGGCAGCCGACATCAGTTTATCCCGCCAATCCAGCCTATGTCCCACCTTTGGCTCAGTCTCAGGAGCCTCCTACTGTGAATTCATCTCCAGCCTTCCCTTTCTACCAACAGAGCTATGGAACCACCTCCTACCCTCCCCAAGCTCCACCACCCAAACAAAACCCTCCTCCACCAATCACCCATGTCTTTGTGGTTCCTCCAACTGCCACATTGCAAAGATCTTCCAGTAAGCCACTGTTTCAAACTCATGACAGCTAATACTATCCTCCTGAGCCTACCTTTAAAGCTCCTGAGCCATATCCTTACACCCCTCACTTTGAGCTCCCGACAGAAATTGAAAAGCCGCTTAAGTGCCCGGAGCAGGAAGAGATGTTTCGAAAAGTAAAAAACCCGGAGCAATCCTTCAGGAATATGCAAGGATTGGGTGGCCAAGTTAGTGTGGCCTATAAGGATTTGTGTCTGTTTCCGGATGTTCAGTTACCAGCAGGGTTCAAAAGGCCTAAGTTCGATCTGTATGACGGGCATGGTGACCTGGTAGCCCACCTGAGGGGATTCTGTAGCAAGATGAGAGGGGCAGGTGGAAAAGATGAGTTACTGATGGCGTACTTCAGCCAGAGTCTGAGTGGGTCTGCATTGGAATGATATACGCGACAGGACCATGGTAGATGGTACACCTGGGATGACTTGGCACAAGCATTCGCCTGCCATTTCCAGTACAACCTTGAAATTGTTCCAGACCGTTTGTCACTGATAAAACTCGAGAAAAGGCCCCGGGAGAGCTTTAGGGAATATGGGTTCCGCTAGAGGGAGCTGGCCGCCAGGGTCGACCCTCCAATGAAAGAGAGTGAGATGGTTGATTACTTTTTGTAGGCTTTGGAGCCGACTTATTTTGGTCACTTGGTAACAGCAATAGGCAAATCTTTTAATGAAGTTGTAAAGATGGGAGGTATGGTTGAGGAAGGACTTAAATCAAATAAAATCATGAGCTATTCAGCGATCAAACCAACCACCCAGGCCATCCAAAGCGGCATTGGGGCGTGCTTGGGAAGAAGAATAAAGAAGGGGTTGCAACAGTTGAGTCTGGAGCCTGGTCCGGATCTAGAGGCCCTTCACCCTACTACAACTAACCCCAACCCCACCACCAAAATTACCCCTACACTCCATATAGCCCTCCACAACACTACTACCCACCGCCAGATCCATATTTTTCCGTCCACCATGCTCAAACCTATACCCAGCCTCCGGCTCACGCGCAATGTCGTGCACCGGCTCCCCAAAACTCATATCCAGCTCCACAAAACACCTATCCACCCCCAAAGGCCTACAGAAATCCCCCGGGAATAGGTTTCCGTTCAAACCAAGCCTTCAGGAATGAAAGAGCACAAAAACAAAAGACATTCACTCCGCTAGGAGAATCATATACCAATCTTTTTCACAGATTGAGGCAGTTAGGCACGTTGAATCCAATTTAGCCCAAAATGCCAAATCCCCTTCCTAGAAATCTGGACCGCTCAGTAAGTTGTGAATACTGTTCGGGGGCACCCGGACATGATACAGAAAAGTGTTGGAAACTGAAAATAGCTGTGCAAGAACTCATTGACACTCACCAGATCGAGGTTCAGGCCCCAGAGGCACCGAATATCAATCAGAATCCGTCTCCGGCTCACCATGAGGCCCACATGATTGAATTGATACACAAGGGAGGGGAGCCCAAGAAACCCTCGCAAACAGTAATGATGATCCGTGCTAGCGAAACCAGTTCAAAGAAAAATTTAACCAGTGGGAAAGTGGTGGTCCAGTTGAAAGGGGTGGACGGTAAGCCAGCTGTGGTAGCCGAGAAAGGGTCATCGAGCATTGTTGCCATGAAACCAGAACAAGAAAGAGTGGTGGTACAAGGGGTAGCAAACAAACCCGTAGTGGTCGTGAAGGGAGCTCGCATAGAGCCTGTTATCATAAATCCAGTAACTCAGTTGCCAGTGATCAACAATAAAGCCATTCCTTGGAGTTATTAACAGGTGATGGTGACATATAAGGGGAAAGAAATCAAAGAGAAAGTTTGTGAGGCGCAGGGTCTGACTCGTTCGGGAAGGTGCTTTGCCCCCGAAGAGTTAAGAAAATCTAGGGTCCCCAAAAACAACCCGGTATTGGTTAAGAAAGCCGTTACAGAAAAGGAAGCAGAAGAATTCTTGAAAAAGATGAAATTGCAAGATTACTCTATTGTTGAACAGTTAAGGAAGACACTGGCCCAGATCTCATTGCTTTCATTACTGATCAACTCAGATGAGCATCGCAGGGCGTTGATGAAAATACAGAATGAGGCCTATGTCCCTGATAAGATTTCGGTGAATCATTTAGAGAAGATAGCAAATAAAATCTTTGAGGTGAATAGAGTGACCTTCTCCGATGATGAGTTTCCCATGGAGGGCACGGAACATAATAGGGCCCTTTATCTGACAGTGAAGTGCGAGGATTCTGTAGTCACCCGAGTGCTGGTTGACAATGGGTCTAGTGCAAACATCTGTCCTTTGTCCACGTTGAACAAGCTGAAGTTCGATAATGATATAATTCATAAAAATAGCATTTGTGTGCGGGGGTTCGTTGGTGGGGGCAAAGATTCAGTGGGCGACATAATACTATAATTGACAATCGGGCCAGTGGAGTTCACCATGGAGTTCCAGGTACTAGACGTGGCGGTCTCTTATAACCTCTTGCTGGGGCGACCATGGATCCATGCCACCAAGGCGGTGCCTTCTACATTGCATCAAATGGTTAAGTTCGAGTGGGACAGACAGGAGATTGTAGTGCACGGTGAAGACAATATGTGCGCTTTAAGTGATGCCATTGTGCCTTTCATAGAAGTTGACGATGACAAGGGGCCATGGGTCTACCAAGTCTTTGACACAGTCTCAGTGGAAAAGGTCCTAGAGGGGAAAAGCATCCCAGTTCCTAGAATAACATCCGCAACTATCATGGTGGCTTTAGAGATGTTAAAGAATAGGTTCATACCGGGTAAAGGTTTGGGTGCTGCTCTTCAAGGCATTGTACAGGCAGTTTCTCTTTCCAAGAATCTGGATACTTTTGGATTGGGGTTCAAACCCACAGCTGCGGATGTAAGACGGGCTCGCAAAATGAAAAAGAGGGCATGGGTCTTTCCCAAGCCAATCCCGCGTTTGTCCAGATCTTTCATCAAACCGGGTATCAGAAGGCAACTATTGTCAAAGGTTCCTGGGTCATTGATTAGTGCTGACGGAGACTTGGACAAGGGGTTCGAATGGTTATTCTCTGAGGTTAATATGGTTGAGGCTGGGGAAGGGTTAAACAAGGCAGATGTGCAGTTCGTCGGACTATGTGCAAAAGTAAACAACTGGGAAGCTACTCCTCTTCCTATTTGGAGGGAGTCTTGGTAGTGATTTTTGATTTTCTTTTGTTGTCTGGATTATTCCAGGGTTTGTAGTTCAGATTTTATGTTCCATCCAGTTGGATGTTTTAAAGCCCTATTATCTTTATATTCAATGAAATACAATTGTCTTTTCTTTCTTCATTCCTAATTTTATTTTTTATTTTCTTTTCTTCTTTGTACAGTTCGTTTTATGCTGATATCAATGACATGACATGCATGAGAAATCTTCGGCCCAGTTTTAAAAGCCAATCTAACTCGGAAATAATAATACAATAAATTGAGTGTCATGATGAGTTGTAATATGTTGATGACGAGGCCTATGAAGAAATTAGTAAGGAATTAAGCCACTTTGAGGAAAACCCCAAACCTAACCTAAATGACACAGAAGCAGTTAAACTAGGGGACCAAGATAATGTACGTGAAACTAAAATAAGTGTTCATCTGGAACCACAACTCGGGGAGGAGATAATCAAAGCATTGTTAGAATACAAAGATGTTTTTGCATGGTCGTATGATGATATGTCGGGTCTAAGCACTGATTTAGTGGTTCACAAATTGCCCACTGACCCGGCATTCCCTCCTATCAAGCAGAAGCTGAGAAATTTCAAAACGGATATGAGTGTAAAAATCAAAGAAGAGGTCACCAAGCAGTTCGATGCGAAAGTCATTCGGGTCACGCGGTATCCCACCTGGTTAGCCAATGTGGTGCATGTACCAAAGAAGGATGGCAAGACCAGAGTGTGTGTTGATTATCGAGACCTTAAAAATGCCATTCCTAAGGATAACTTCCCACTGCCAAACATCCATATATTGATTGATAATTGTGCCAAACATGAGATTGTTTCCTTTGTATATTGTTACGCGGGATATCACCAGATTCTAATGGACGAGGA